ACGTTAACGGACTGAACTCTCCAATTAAGAGACATAGACTGTCTAGTTGGATTAAAAAACAAGACCCTTCTATCTGCTGCCTGCAGGAGTCACATCTTGCCCGTAAAAACAAACACATTTTCAATGTTAAAGGCTGGAACAAAATCTACCAAGCAAACGGCCCCCATAAACAGGCGGGAGTTGCAATCCTAATATCAGATGAAATAGACTTCAAATTAAAATTCGTGAGAAGAGATAAAGAAGGTCGCTACATACAAATTAAAGGATCTCTCCTTCAGGAGGATATTACAATTCTAAATATCTATTCGCCAAACAATGGAGCACCCAAATTTATCAAAGGAACACTACTTTCCCTCAAATCCCATATAGATCCAAAGACATTAATTGTTGAGGATTTTAACACACCACTCTCCCCACTAGATAGATCAACTCGGCAAAAACTCAACAGAGAAACGGCAGATCTAAACAGCTGCATAGATCAACTAGACTTAACAGACATCTACCGAACATTTCACCCAGCAGCATCAGAATACACGTTTTTCTCTGCAGCACATGGAACGTTCTAAAATAGACCACATTTTAGGCCACAAAGCAAACTTGTCTAAATTCAGAAACATTGAAGTTATACCTTGCATCCTCTCTGACCACAAGGGAATAAAATTAGAACTCAACACCAAAAGCCACCAAAGAAAGTCCGGTATCATATGGAGGCTGAACAACACACTGCTGAATCATGAGTGGGTCATGGAAGAGATTAGAAAGGAAATTAAAATGTTCATGCTATTCAACGAAAATGAACACACAAATTACCAGGTCCTCTGGGACACAGCAACGGCAGTACTCAGAGGCAAGTTTATAGCTCTGAGCTCCTACAACAACAAATTGGAGAGATCTGAAACTAACAATTTAATGACACATCTAAACCTCCTTGAAAAAGAGCAGCAAGATAAACCCCAATCCAGTAGACAGAAAGAAATAATCAAAATTAAATCAGAACTAAATGAATTAGAATCCAAAAAAACTATAGAAAGAATCAACAAAACAAAGAGTTGGTTCTTCGAAAAACTTAACAAAATTGACAGACCCTTAGCAAATCTTATCAGAAAAAGAAGAGAACACACCCAAATTAATAAACTCAGAGATGAGAATGGAAACATCACCACGGAAACAACCAAGATTCAGAACATTATAAGGGAATACTTCTCAAAACTTTATGCTAATAAGTTTGAGAACTTGACAGAAATGGACCTCTTCCTAGCAAATACTGACATGCTAAAACTAAACCAAGATGAGTTAAACTATCTTAACAGGCCCATATCAAGCATTGAAATAGAAACAGCAATAAGAGACCTCCCAGCTAAGAAAAGTCCAGGACCAGATGGTTTTTCAGCGGAATTTTACAAGGCCTTCAAAGCAGAGCTCACACCAATTCTCCTCCAACTCTTCAATGAAATTGAAAGAGAAAGCTCACTACCGAACACATTCTATGAAGCCATCATAACCCTCATCCCAAAACCAGGCAGGGACTCATCAAAGAAAGAGAACTATAGACCCATTTCTTTGATGAACATTGATGCAAAACTTCTCAACAAAATTTTGGCCAATCGACTTCAACAATTCATCCAAAAAATCATACACCACGATCAAACAGGATTCATTTCAGGGATGCAAAGCTGGTTCAATATACGCAAATCAATTAATATTATTCATCACATCAACAGGAGCAAGAATAAGAACCACATGGTTATCTCAATAGACGCAGAAAAAGCATTCGACAAGATCCAACACCCCTTTATGATGAAGGTTTTGGAAAAATTAGGAATCCATGGAACATTCCTCAATACAATAAAGGCTGTATATGACAAACCTACAGCCAGCATTATACTCAATGGTGAAAAACTAAAGCCATTTCCTCTTAACTCAGGAACAAGACAAGGATGCCCACTCTCTCCACTTCTCTTCAATCTAGTATTAGAATGCCTAGCTACAGCAATAAGACAAGATGCAAACATAAAGGGGATCCAAATAGGGAAAGAAGAAATAAAACTCTCCCTCTTTGCAGATGACATGATCTTGTATTTAAAGAATCCCATAGACTCCACTCCCAAATTACTCAAGCTGATTCAAAACTTTGGCAAAGTAGCAGGTTATAAAATTAACCCCCCCAAATCAATGGCTTTTCTGTATGCCAACAATGAGAAAAGTGTGGCTGAAATTAGGAAAGCAACTCCATTTGTAATAGCCCCACAAAAAATAAAACACCTAGGAATTAACTTAACTAAAGAAGTGAAGGACCTCTATGATGAAAACTTTAAAATCTTGAAAAAGGAAATCAACACAGAACTTAAAAAATGGCAAAACCTCCCATGCTCCTGGATTGGAAAGATTAACATCGTGAAAATGGCAATACTTCCCAAGGCTATCTACAAATTCAACGCGATACCTATCACAATTCCAAGCTCATTCTTCAAGGAAGTAGAAGAGGCAATCCAAAAATTCATATGGAACAATAAAAGACCCCGAATAGCAAAAACGCTCCTCAACGGAAAGAACACTGCTAGAGGAGTATCAATACCAAATTTCAAACTCTACTATAAAGCCATAGTAATCAAAACAGCTTGGTATTGGCATAAGAACAGACCTCAGGACCAATGGAATAGAATTGAAAACCCAGAAATGAACCTACAGACCTATAGCCATCAAATCTTCGATAAGGGAGCTAAAACAATACAATGGAAGAAAGACAGCCTCTTCAGTAAATGGTGCTGGCAAAACTGGTTAACTACATGTAGAAAACTAAAGCTAGATCATTATATATCACCCTGCACCAGAATCAACTCCAAATGGATCAAAGACCTTGAACTCCAAGCAGACACTCTGAAAACACTACAGGATGGAATAGGAGAAACCCTAGGTCTCCTTGGCTCAGGCCGAAATTTTCTGAATAGAGACCCCGAAACACAACAAATCAAAGAAAGGTTGGACAAATGGGATTGCATAAAGTTGCAGAGCTTCTGCAGGGCAAATGACATAGCTAGCAAGATCAATAGAAAGCCCACGGATTGAGAGAAGATCTTTACTAGCCATACAATGGACAAGGGTCTCATATCTAAAATATACTTGGAACTCAAAAATTTAAATCCCCCACCAACAAATCCTCAAAAGAACAACTGTCCAATAAACAAGTGGGCGAAAGATTTAAAGAGAAACTTCTCTGAAGAAGAAAGAAGGATGGCCAATAGACACATGAAAAATGTTCAACATCCCTAGCCATAAAAGAAATGCAAATCAAAACAACATTGAGATATCACCTCACTCCAGTTAGAACAGCAAAAATCAAGAACTCTAACAACAACAGATGCTGGAGGGGATGTGGACAGAAAGGAACCTTACTTCATTGTTGGTGGGAATGTAAACTTGTTCAACCACTTTGGAAAGCAGTATGGAGGTTCCTCAAAAGACTTCACATAGAGCTCCCCTATGACCCAGCAATCCCACTTTTGGGCATTTACCCTAATGTTTACAAACAAGACCACACTAAAGCTACCAGCACAACTATGTTTATTGCAGCATTATTTACCATAGCTAAGATCTGGAACCAACCCAGATGCCCCTCAGTAGATGAATGGATCAAGAAAATGTGGTATATATACACAATGGAATTCTATGCCTCCATCAGAAAGAATGACATTGCCCCATTTGTTAGGAAATGGAAAGGCTTGGAAAAAATTATATTAAGTGAAGTAAGCCAGGCCCAAAGAAACATAGGTCCCATGGTTTCCCTTATTTGCAATATCTAGTATAGGTATGAGTCAAGCGGAAAAGGTCAGATAATGTGATGTTAGGAAAACGAACCCTTAAATATGTATTTTAATGGTTTTTTTCTTTCATTCATGTGTTTCTAACGCATTTATAAGATTATTTCTTTGTTGCTTTGTATGTCCCTCCCCCACAGTGTAACCCCCGCTTTCACTATATTTGATGTCAGTATAACATGTGGAGGAGATGGGGACAAACAAGTCGTTTAAGGATTCAGGTGGACCTGTTGCAACAATGAGAAGTGCAAAATGTCATGTCAAAAACGAGCTTTACAATGTCCGTGGGGGAGGGGAAGGGGGGAAAGGATTGGGTGGGGGGGGCGGGGGGAGGCTGAGATGGGAGGTGAAGGGTAAACAAAGGAGGAGGCTGCAATGCTTGGTAAGAAATGTATGCATTATCCTGCCCATGTAATTGTGACCCCTCTGTACAGTATGTTCTCAAATAAAATTAAATTAAATTAAAAAAATAAAAAATAAAATAAAATAAAAAAATGCTTTGGCCTGGGAAGGTAGCTCAGTGGTAGAGCACTTGCCTTGCATGCTCGAGGCCCTGGATTCAATTCCTCAGCACCACATAAGCAAAAAGAAAAAAGCTGGATGTGGCGCTGTAGCTCAAGTGGTAGAGTGCTAGCCTTGAGCTGAAGAGCTGAGGGATAGCGCCCAGACCCAGAGTTCAGGCCCCACGACCGGACCCCCCCCCCAAAAAAAAGCTTAAATATACTCAGGGACAGTGCCTAAGCCCTTAATTTTGCCTCAGTGGCTCAGAATGGCTGATCATCTCTCCATGCCACCCCCACCCCCACCCCAGTTCTCAAGATGACTTCCAGAGTCCACCACCATCTCCTAGGTGAGAAACTAAGCCCCACATCTGAAATCAGTGCTTCCAAGTGAGATGGAGCAGGGTTTTGATCTGGGCCACCAGCACCCTTGAGCAAACACCAGATATTTTCACACTTGCCCAAACCAGTCAGTTTACCCAGTTTGAGGGCAAAATGGCTGATCTGGCTCATTAGGATGGGTGAAAAGAAGAGGTGTCACCAAAGGATAGCATGGAAAGGACACTGCTGTAGGTGGGACAGACCTACTGATTGGCAGACCTTAGCATCTAGGCCCACTCAGAGCAGAAAACCATGGGGTTCACTGCCCTGGGATGTTTCACCTCCAATGACTCCTTTGGGGAGTCAACTGAGATGGTGCCCACATTGGAGCTACAGACCGGCCTTTTGACCACAGAGATGTGACTTAAAATAGAAATACTCACACACTCACCTGCTGCCCCACAAAATGTCCCTGTATTGGTTAACAGGAAAAAAAATTCTTTACTTACAGAATGCATGTCTTTTGTGTTAAGAAACCAAAGAGAAATAAAAAGAACACTCCTAAAAATGCTTAAAGTACAAATTTTCTCCAAAATAAATGCAAATGATAGAAAATATAATCACAATATATTATTAATTTAAAATAATCCAGTGTTCCCATACCAAAAGGTATGGATTATATAAAGACCTTACTATATTTAGTAATGGATATTTTTTGGCAGTATTTGATCTTTATTCTTGCTAGAGAAGAATTCTACCACTTATGACATTCCTCAAACCCTTTGATTTGGGTTTGTTTTTCAGTAGGCTCTCCTGATTTTTTTTGTTGGGGGGGCCAAGGCTGGCGCTGGATCATGATCCTCCTACTTTTGCCTCCTGAGTTGAATAATATGCCACCATGAAAAAAAATCACTGGAAAGTTCCGTTTTTAAGAAGAAATGGCAGAGGAATGATTCAATGAAATTGAGGACAGAACAATAGAATGTATTCAATGTAAACAGCAAAGAAAATAAAGAATAAATGAACAAAGATTCAAGGTACCAAAGGATAAAAATCACAAGAATAGCATTCATAACTTTGTAGTTTCAGAATGAAAATGGAAATAATTCAAGGCTAGACAGCTTTTGAATGAAAAATACTTAAATTTGAAAACAATAGGCTTAAGAGGCAGAGAGAAATCCATATAAATTGAACCCTGAAGAAATCCACATAAGGGTACAACATAATTAGACTTCTGAGCACTAACTATAAAAAAATCTTTGAGGGCAACCAGAGAAAAATAATGCATTGCTTATTGAGCAACATCAATATGAATGAAAGTTGATTTCTTTTCTGATAAAATGGAGGCCACAAAGAAATAATCTTATAAATGTGTTAGAATTTCTTTGTTGCTTTGTATGTCCCTGCCCCACGGTATAACCCCTGCTTTCATTGTATTTGATGTTGTTATAATTTGTGGAGGGGAAGGGAAAAAACAAATCGTTTAAATAGAGATACAAGTGGACTCATTGCAACAATGAGACGTACAAGTCTTTATGTCGAAAATGAACTTTTGGTTGGGGGGAGGAGGGTTGGGTGGGGGGGTGGGGGGAGGATGGAATGGGAAGAGGAAACAAAGGAGGAGGCTACAATGCTTGATAAGAAATGTACTCACTATCTTGCCCATGTAATTGTAACCCCTCTGTACAGTATTTTCACAACAATAAAAAACTGTACAGTATTTTCACAATAATAAAAAAAAAACTCAAACAAAATGGAGGCCACAAGAAGGTGTTAAAATATTTTTTTAATTTTTATTTATTTTTTATTGTGAAAATACTGTACAGAGGAGTTACAATTACATGGGCAAGATAATGAGTACATTTCTTATCAAGCATTGTAGTCTCCCCCTTTGTTTCCCCTTCCCATCCCTTCCCATCCTCCCTCCCTCCCCCGCCAACCTCCCCGCCCTCCCCACCAAAGTTGTAAAGTTCGTTTTCTACATAACGACTTGTACTTCTCATTGTTGCAACGGGTCCACCTGTATCCTTATTTAAACGACTTGTTTTTCCCCTTCCTATCGACAAATTATACCATCAAATACAGTGAAAGCAGGGGTTATACTGTGGGGGAGGGACATACAAAGCAACAAAGAAATAATCTTATAAATGCGTTAGAAACAATCGCATGAAAGAAAAAAAACATTTGAATACATATCTTAGGGTTCATTTCCCTAACATCACCTTATCTGATCTTTTCTGCTTGACTCAGACATATACTAGATATTGCGAATAAAGGAAACCATGGGACCTATGTTTCTTTGGGCTTGGCTTACTTCACTTAATATAATTTTTTCCAAGCCTTTCCATTTCCTAACAATGGGGAACAATTGACCTCAAATTCTGTATTCAGTGAACATATGCTTCAGGGACTGGAAATTATATATAGACATTCTCAGAGGAAGGAAGACAAACAATCTGATATAAATAGACCTATTTTTAATTGTTAATGTTAAGGATTTGTATAAATTCAGGTAATGAGTGCACTTGGACAGTGTCATCCCTTCCTTCATTCTTCCCTATTTTCACCCTAGATCCTTGCTCTCAAGTTATAGCATTCATTTTTACATAATGTATAATGAATATAATAAATGCATTTATTCACCTCTCCTCCTTCCACTTCAACAGCAACAACAAAAAACTTAAAACAAAAACAACACCAACAAAAATTTTTCCATTTCCTGAATTTCATTTTGATAAATAGTTCTTTAGATGTTCAGATGAAGTATACTTTTGGGTTGCTTCCCTAAGTATATCCTCCTTTAATCTATTTTTCATGTAAATGCATAGGGCCCTATATAAGTTATTATGTCCAGTTGTATTTTAGATCTAGCCTCCACATATGTGAGAAAATATATGTCATTTTTCTCGCTGACCTTGGCTTACATCGCTTAACATGATTTGTTCTAGGTCTATCCATTTCCCTGCAAATGGTGCTTTCTAATATTATACTTTCATCTTCTTATGCTTTCTAATGGATGAGTGAAATTTCACTGTGTGTATGTATCACATTTTTAATCTATTATAGGACATCTGGGCTCTTTCCACAACTTAGTTATTGTGAATAGTGAAGCAATGAAAATAGATGTGCAAATGTCCTTAATGTATCCTGGCCTGTGATGTTCTGGATAGATGCCCAAGAGTAGGGTGGTTCTATGTTCATTTTGAAAATTTTCCAAATTGCCTTTCAGAGTGGTTGTATTAGTTTACATTCCCACCAACAGTGCAATAGAGTTCTTTTTTCCCCACATCCCCACCAGGATTTGTTATTGCTCAAATTCTTTTTAAATTTTTTAATTGTTATTATAAAGGAGATACACAGAGTGGTTATAGCTATGTAAGTACATTTCTTTTTGGACAATGTCACCCCTTCCTTCACTCTCTCCCAGTTTTTCCCTTACATCCCACCCAAAAGTTGTATAGTACATTTTTGACATAGTTTCCAGTGAGTATCACTGCTGCATTTATTCGCCATTTGTCCCACCATCCTGCCCCCTTGCACTCAAAATACAGATAAATGAACAAAGACAACAACAAAAGAAAACAAATACAATTCCTCAATATAATAAAGGCTGTATATGAGAAACCTACAGCCAGCATTATACTTAATGGTGAATAGTTAAAATCATTTACTCTAAAATTAAGAACAAGTGTGTTCACTTTCTCCATTCTTCTTCAATATAGTATGGGAACTCCTAGCTAGAGAATAAGGCAAGAGATGAACATAAAGAGGATCCAAATAGGGAAAGAAGCAGTAAAACTCCCTCTTTGTAGATTACATGATCCTGTATTTAAAGAACCCCATAGGATGTGGAGAAAGAAGAACCCTACTGCACTGCTGGTGAGAATGTAAATTTAGTACAACCACTTTGGAAAGCAGTCTGGAGATTCCTCAGAAAATTAAACATAGACCTTCCCTACAACACAGCCATACCACTCCTAGGCATCTACCCTGAACAACAGGAACCAGGACACAAGAACACATGCACCTCCATGCTCATTGCTGCACTGTTCACAATAGCCAAGATATGGAAACAACCCAGTTGTCCCACTAGAGATGAATAGATTCAAAAATTGTAATACCTATATACAATGGAATATTACATAGCTGCTAGAAAGGACAAAATAATGGCATTCGCAGTGAAATGGGTGGAACTAGGAAAACCATCTTGAGCAAAATAAGCCAAGATCAGAGAAACAAATGGTGCATGGTATCCCTGATATGCAGATGTTAAATTCAAAATATAAGATATGACAAAATAAACAGGACTCAAGAAACAAAGGACTTCTTCTTATTTTGTCATATCATTTTTTGTTGACTCTATGTTCTTGACCCCACATATGGTATATACATGTGCACATAAGAGGGAAGCTAGGAGGAGGTCACAGAATCAGAGGAAAATGGGTGAAAGAAAGACCTACACTGTTGAAAGCAGTAGATTCTATTTACTGAGAGTTGATAAAATTATAAAAATAATGCACAGATGGTAATCAAAAATAAGTAGTTTATAACTGGGTGCTGGTGGCTCATGCTTGTAACCCTAGCTACTCAGGAGGCTGAGATCTGAGGATCACAGTTTAAAGCCAGCCTGGGCAGAAAAGGCTGTGGCACTCTTATCTCCAATAAACTTCTAGAAAATCAGAAGTGGCACTGTGGCTGAAGCGGTAGAGTGCTCGCCTCGAGCTGAAGAGTGCAGGGACAGCACCCAAGCTCAGAGTTCAAGCCCCACAACTGACAAAAAAGTAGTTTAAGAAGTTAGATATTCCTTAGTGTTTTATGAAGAATGTACATTCTTACTTCCTTCATAGTACCTTAATTCACATTTTTCACAAAATAGACTAATAACATTTCATAAAACAAATTTGAATTTTACAATTATAATATTATACTAAGAAGAAAATGTCAAAAGGAGGTCTTGTATACATTTCCCTTATTCTCTTCTTTGTCTACCTCTTTTCCCTTTGATACCATCCTACTCCTTTCAAGTATCCTCTTCTTGGTGTTTCATTTTGCTTAAGTGTGATTTTGGCAAGAAAAAAGAACCCCATAGATTACTCTCCCAAACTACTTGAGCTGATCCAAAACTTTGACAAAGTAGCATGGTATTAACCCACAAAAATCAGTAGCTTTTCTGTCTGCCAACAAGAAGGGTAATGCTGAAATCAGGACCACAACTCCTTTTGGAATAGCCTCAAGAAAAGTACCTCAGAATTAACTTAACCAAAGGTATGAAGGACTTCTATGATGAAAACTTTAAAAAACCTGAAAAAGGAAATTAAAGAAGATTTAAGGAAGTAGAAAAATTTCCTATAGTCCTGGATTGGAAGGATTAACATTGTGAAAATGGCAATACTGCCCAAAGCTATCTAAAAATTCAATGCAATACCCCAAATCCCAAC